TAAGGTGGGCTGATTGCAGTGACACAAAAGGCCATTCTTTTACTCTGTTGCCAGAAGAAGGTAGTTTGTCCACAGGATTCGAACACAGGAAGCAGACTTAGGAAGCCAGAGTTCTTGCTACCAAATGTTTAATGTGTATTTGCTGCCCTGTAAGGAACTGTAATGGAACTGCTATTTTATTCGTCAACAGTGTGGAAAAGCTCAAATATGGGAATGGATATGGAAATTGAGAGGGAAGATATCCAAAGGGAAATCTATATAAATAAAAATGTAACGTTCATTTGTGGGATTAACATAACTAAAAAACCACTGGGCGAATTGACACCAAATTTGGACACAATACATCTATCAGGTCAACAAGTGACCATTATTCATAAAAACACTGAAAAACAGAACAGAAGAGACTTAAAAAGCAAAAAAAAAAAATACATTACAACAGATGCACAAAACCACATATATACACATCTACACAAATATATACACACGCATACACATATATACACATATACACAGACTGGGCCACAGCAACGCGTGACGGGATGGCTAGTAAATAATATATCAAAGGAAAATGTAATGTATTGTTGAAGGCTTTCACAGCCTCTGAGGATGCTTGCCATAAACGCAGGCAAAACATCAGGGGAGAATCCCTTTAGAACATGGCCATACAGTCCGAAAAAAACCTACAACAACCCAGAAAAATGTAATGTACTAAAGGAAGCAAGAAGGAAAATGTTACAAAAATGGTACAGGACTCCTGCACAATTTTCACATTTTTTACCTGGTGTAAAGGACAGATGTTGGCATGGTTGTAAATAAAGAGGTGTGTTTAACACATGATTTGGGGATGTGACAGAGTACAGGCGTACTGGAGAAAGATTGAAGGAGAAATCTTAAATCTTCAAATAGTAATAGCCAATAGAAATGTATTACATGCAAGGATACCAGGTGTGTATAATGTGCAAAAATAAAGGAAGGTTGACAAATTAATAGTGTGTGCACAAACTGTATTAGAGAGGGGTTGGAAAGATAAAGCAAAGTGGACTCTGACAAATTATATGGAAATATGTTAAATGTGGAAAAAACCACTTTTAAATTGAACAATATAGACAAAAAAGAAAATGTTATAATAATTAAGAGCACGTGGGATCCAGTTTGGAAGTATTTAGAGAATGTATCAAGATGTGGAGTGCAAAAACTGAGATTAAGACTGATATTTCAAATGTAATTTCTGTAGTGTATTGTATAAATTGTATGTCCAGGGGGAAGGGTAAAGGGTGGGAGTGAGTTAAAACTATATAAGGCTGGAGTTAAAATTCCTGGAGGAAACATTAACAACCTTAGGTATGCAGATGACACCACTTTGATGGCCAAAAGCGAGGAGGGGATGAGGAGCCTTCTAATCAAGGTGAAAGAAGAAAGCGCAAAAGCTGGGTTGCAGCTAAACATAAAATAAAACCAAGACACTGGCAACGAAGATCCACATAGTCAAAGCAATGGTATTCCCCGTAGTCACCTACGGATGTAAGGAAGAGGAACGGACCAAGGGCAAGATGGATGGATGGTATCCTTGAAGTAACTGGCTTGACCTTGAAGGAGCTGGGGGTGGTGATGGCCGACAGGAAGCTCTGGCATGGGCTGGTCCATGAGGTCACGAAGAGTCGGAAATGACTGAACGAATGAACAACAACAACAATATATGTATAGAGAGAGAGTGTGTGTGTGTGTGTGTAGAAAAGCAGCCACATGCAGAAACTAGAAACTGGAGTTGTGTTGGGTACACACCCCATCATCCCTTGTCTGAGGATACTAGGAGCTGTAGTCCAACACAGCTGGAAGTCACCCAGTTGAGGGAAAAATGGGAGGAGGGTGAGTTTCAGAGCTATGGAATTCTTTCCCTTGAGAGACTTTAAGTTTCTCCTTTTTTTGGATTTAAAAATTCTCAAAGCCTTTGGGAATTAACTTGGGTCGGCTGAAAGTATGTTTTGAGTTGCTTCTTTAAAAAAAATCCTAACCTTTGCTTGCTCTGGATTTTTAAAATGTTGGAAGAAATGTGTTGCCACATGTCCTCCCATATTTCACAGACGGAAACAAGGAGATGTATGGCCAAGTAATATCAGAGTGTGACCAAGATTGGGGAGGGGGGGACAAAAAAAGGGGGCTGCAGCAGTTTGCTTTTATTTGATTATAGTGGGAAGAACATTATTTCTTTATATGTTGAACTCAGTTTGCAACAGTAGAAATAAGCTAAGGACAAGGGAGGGAAGTGGGAAGAGAGGAGAGAAACTGGGACATTTTAAAAGCAACCAAAAAAGTGGGTTGACAGAGTATTAATCAGAACTGTCCCTGATAAATTGGGACAGGAGGGTATGTTAGAGTTTCCGAGTCGGAGCCCCCAGTGGCGCAATGGGTTAAACCCTTGTGCCAGCAGGACTGCTGACCGAAAGGTCGGTGGTTCGAATTTGGGGAGCGGGGTGAGCTCCTGTCTGTCAGCTCCAGCTTCCCATGCAGGAACATGAGAGAAGCCTCCCACAGGATGGTAAAACATCCGGGCATCCCCTGGGCAGCATCCTTGCAGACGGTCAATTCTGTCACACCAGAAGCGACTTGCAGTTTCTTAAGTCTCTCCTGACACAGAAAAAAAGTTTGCAAGTTGCATTAAGAAACTGGGATTGTGGGGAAGTTTATAGACCAGTGTATAAATACGAATGGAAAGAATAAATAGCCACCAGACGGGTGGATGCAAACCCTCCTGCTCCGTTATTTCATTCCATGCTCATTAGTCACACAGAGACTTAAATCCATGCTATTTGGGGGCTTATGAATCTCCCTTTGCCTCATCAACTGTGGTGACTAAAGTTTGCTCCAGGAAAGCATTTCAAAAGTTGGTGGTTTCTGAGCTGGGGTGAGGGAAGGAGAGGCATAGTCAGCCAAAAAATATTAATAATGCTGAGCAGATGCAGTGGGGAAAATCAAGGAAACTGTTTACTTTTGGGAGATTTTTTTTTTTTTTGCAGGGCTGCATTTAAAAATAATATACTAAAGTTGTTGCTATACACTAGGGTGGTTGTTATTTCTTTTTCCTAGCATTTAAAATCTTGTCTTTCTACCAGCAGCCTTGGTGTGAATCATGCTCCCTCTCCCAGTTCAAAATTGTTTCCCATTTATCCATTTTGACATCCCTGATGGATATGGTGGTTTCAATCCAGGGAGGGCACAGGGCAGGTTGGGCTCAATGGGAGTTTGCCCCCATACCAGCCCCACTGTGGGATCGCTTGTTCGGAGCAGCTTGGTACCGCCTGTTCTTTTTGGCCAGAGGAAGGAATTTGAAAGTTTCCTTTGGCTGGGCTGGGAGTGTTCTGGCGGTGGCCCAGCCAGTGACTCACACAGAACTGGGAACACTGGCCCTGCCTTTCTGAACAGAAATGCTGTGTGGAACTCCTGAACTGGTCTCCAACCTCTAAAGCTCTGATCATTTAATGGCATATGTGCAGAGCTTCCCACCATCACCATCATTATCAGATGCGCAACAAGATTAGTACACAGCAAACAAGATCGCTATGCTGGCTTTTGTCATCAATCACATGTCGGACACTTCCCAAGTTATTATTGTTATTACTAGCTCTCCCCTGCCATGCATTGCTGTGGCCCAGTCTGTGTATATGTGTTTTATCTATATAAATAAAAATGTAATGTTCGTTTGTGAGAGTAGCATAACTCAAAAACAACTGGACGAATTGACACCAAATTTGGACACAATACACCTATCAGGCCAGCATGTGACCATCACTCATAAAAACAGTGAAATACACAGCAGAAGGGTATACACACACACACACACAYACACACATATATATATATATAYACATATATATATATACATAAAGCCACACATATATATGCAAACACACATATATGCATATACACAAATATATACACACACAAAACACATATACACAGACTGGGCCACAGCAACACGTGGCAGAGGATGGCTAGTGTGTGTATATATGTGCATATGTGTGYATATATTTGTGTATATGCATATTTATGTGGTTATGGGTATGCGCTGTGATGTTTTGTTTTTTGTTTTTGCTTTTTAAGTCCCTTTCACTGTGTTTTTCAGTGTTTTTATGAGTRACGGTCACTCCTTGGCCTGATAGATGTATTGTCTACATTTGGTATCAATTCGTCCAGTGGTTTTTGAGTTCTGTTAATCCCACAAACGAACATTACATTTTTATGTATATAGATTATTATTCCCAAATTGTTGTTGTTATTATTCCCAAGTTGTTGTTATTGTTGTTGATATTATTATTATTCCGAAGTTGTTGTTATTGTTATTCCCAAGTTGTTGTTGTTGTTTTTCAGCTTGCAGTACCCCAAATGCCAATTGACTATGGGATTCTGGAAGTTGCAGTAAGTTTTGCAGTACTGCCATTATGAACCCCATATAATTTGGGATGGGACACCTAACCACATATCTCCATGTGTGTTTGTGAGATTATCACAGACTGATACTGCAAAGCTCCCATGTTTGCGGTTCTCAAACTTCGGTCCTCCAGATATTTTAGACTTCCACTGGGGCTTCTGAGAGTTGAAGTCCAAAGGGAATTTGGGAACCACTGTCACATAGGATCTCCAGGTAAAAGAAGAAACATGTATTTATTTGCGTATTGATAGTTGCATGTTATTTTTAAACATATTTTATATATAAAAAAAGCCCAACATGTTTCAGACTTTCTATTCCCGATTGCCCTTCTTCAGAGCTATGCATTCAATCTTAACAACAGTGGAAATTTCTGGAGCTACTGAAAAATCTTTCTCCATATATAGGACTGGTAGACAGACAGTGTAAATGCCACACCCTATATCTACCTATCAGCACCTTAAATAAGTTCCTTCTCCTGAGATTCCTTACCTGTGTAGCAGTGTATTGTCCATACTGTGGCAATACCCCCACCCCCAATCATAGTATAGAGTGAATGAACAGAGGAGACTCAGGCTGGTAAATAAATGTTTTATTCCTTCGAAAATGCTGTTAGAGTCATATCACAAAAGCAACAAGGCCCTCCTCAAGTTCAGACTGCACCTCTGGATCCCTGCAAGAAGACCGGCAGATAGACCACAGGAAATGTTGGTCAGCAAGAGTCCTTAGACCTCCTGAAGTTGAAACAAAATCTCTTGCCTTGATCCTGAGGTCTGAAGGAGCGCTGCCACACGTGTCTTCTCGCCATAGCACCCTCCTAGATGGGGCAGCTCTGTTGGTGCTTAAAAATGGGGAGTGGAGGGGTTGCTAATGACCCCCACCTACCCTACAGTAAAAGTGATTGAGGATAACCTTGCTGATGCAGGAGCTATGGGTATATTTTTGCAGCAGAATGAATTAGGCTAAAATGAAGCAAATGTAAACATAGATATTCATAGTTTTTTTTCCTTTTATAGATAATTTGTGTCATTTGCTCTGGCTGTAGAGTTCAGGATTTTGGGTTGCAGATGTTGCCATTTGAATTACTGTGATGGAGTACAGTTGTGGGTCCCGACTATAGGATAAAAAGCTTATCCTAGATCAGTTTAGTAAGTGACAGCAGAGGATACACTTGGTCTTTTCCGGCTGTACGGGACAAGACATTATTTCTCATGGGCCAGGACCCAGTAACATACTTGTGCCTATTGGCTACAACTGTTTCTTTCCTGGAAAAAAATTCTGCCAACTGCTAGCCAATGGCTCCAAGTGGTACTGGTCAAGGGACTACAGATCAGATCACAGTGCAAGCATTGGAAAGAAACACTCTCTAAGTCAAGGAAGGGCAACTGTGGCAGGACTCAGGAGCCATTTTCACCATGTCAGCAACCCAGCGCTGATGTTGTGTCACTTCTGGATTCTGTGTTGGCTTTTGAAAAGGACTTGGAAGGGAACAAAGTACAATGGTGGGGTTTGGGGAGGTGACAAGAAGGAAACATGGGTGTCCTATAGGCCCTACTTTCTCCAACCCTGTTGTAGGAATACATCATCCTCATACCCCCCAACTGTTCCGATTTGGCAGAGACAATCCTGATTGGCATCATACTTTATTAGCTCTTTCAAACATTACAGAGTCTCTCTCTCCCCATATTTCCCTTCATTGTTGTACCGGCACGTCAATTCCCACTAATTGCCATCCTAAGTTTTTCTCGGCAAGATTTGTTTAGAGGGAGCCTACCTCTGAAACTGAAAAATTGTGACTTGCTCAAGGTCACCCAGTGGGTTTCCATGGCTGAACAAGGATCCAAACCCTGTTTCTAGTCATAGTTGCTACACCACAGTGGTTGTCTTTGTCTTCAGCTTACTTCAAATACTGCAAACTGAGTTCAAAGTGCAAAAGTAGCTTGCATTCAGACCTCAGTGGAGTGGGAATCATAGAGTTGAAAGAGACCTAGTGAGCCATCCTGTCCAACTCTCTGCCAAGAAGCAGGAAATCGCATTCAAAGCACCCCCGACAGATGGTCATCCAGCCTCTGTTTAAAAGCCTCCAGAGAAGGAGCCTCCACCACACTCCAGAGCAGAGAGTTCCACTGCTGAACTGCTCTCACAGTTAGGGAGTTTTTAGAATCATAGAGTTGGAAGAGACCTCATGGGCCATCCAGTCCAACCCCCTGCCAAGAAGCAGGAATATTGCATTCAAAGCACCCCTGACAGATGGCCATCCAGCCTCTGTTTAAAAGCCTCCAAAGAAGGAGCCTCCACCACACTCCAGGGCAGAGAGTTCCACTGCTGAACTGCTCTCACAGTTAGGAAGTTCTTCCTAATGTTCAGGTGGAATCTCCTTTCCTGTAGTTTGAATCCATTGTTCTGCATCCTAGTCTCCAGGGCAGAACAAGGTTGCTTCCTCCTCCCTATGACTTCCCTTCACATATTTATACATGGCCACCATGTCTCCTTTCAGCCCTCTCTTCTTCAGGCAAAACATGCCTAGCTCTTTCAGCCGCTCCTCATAAGGCTTGTTCTCCAAACCCTCTTCCTTTGGACACATTCCAGCTTGTCAACATATCCCTTAATCTGCGGTGCCCAGAATATCACACAGTGTGATTCCAGGTGTGGTCTGACCAAGGCAGAACAGAAGGGTAGCATGACTTCCCTGGATCTAGACACTAAACTCATATTTATGCAGGCCAAAATCCCATTGGTTTTTTAAGCTGCCGCATGAAATTATTGGCTCATGTTTAACTTCCTGTCCATGAAGATTCCAATACCTTTTTCACACGTACTGCTATTGAGCCAGATATCTCCATTCTACATCTTTGTATTTCATTTTTTTCTGCCTAAGTTGAGTATCTTGGGCAGAAAAAATTAAAATGCAAAGATACAGAATGGGGGATGCCTGGGCTCAATAGCTGTATGGAAAGAAGAAAGGGTGAAATCATGTCTTCCCTGTGGACACAAGCAAAACCAAACTGTGGCAGGCACTCCTAGCTTGTCTATTCATTCTCTTTGCCATCTTGACCTTATTCTGATATTGCTTGGCCACACACATATCAGTTTTCATCGGTAAAATTTTCATACAAGCCTTCTGTGTTTCCTTGCCAGTTTGACACCTTGTTTCTTGCCTGTTCCAGAAATCTCCCCAAATCCTCTAATCTACAACATAAAGTTGCCCCTGAGGCAAACTCCAAGCAAGACGGGCGGATAAAAGCTGCAGTTACATATCAAATGAAATATGAGCGTGATTTTTTGCAATGTCATAATAACATACTTGACAGTGAATGGTGATAAGGAAGTAGCTAGCTCAAGGAGAAGGCTTAGCTACAGTGAAAGAAATAAAATTAAATCAGATGAAACTATTTAACATGAAGTCATATGGATGGAATAAAAAATGTCTTTCTTCCTGGCATAAGTATTCACAGGAAAATGAACTTGTTCTGGATTGGTCTTCAGAGACTGTGAACACAGTTGGAGCAAAATAAGCAGTCACTTTGGAGACCGCTACTGATAGTTTTTGGCTATCCAAACAATATAATCAGTGGATGGAATGTTGTCTGTGTTGGATATCATCCTACGCTTGTGACGCCAGAGCAAAACCATTTGTCCGGCAAGAAGACAGATATCCCGGGAACATCTGCTTTATAACAAAAATAGCAAGTTGCTAGATCTCATGACTGAGAAATAGCTGGAGATCTCTCCATTTCTATTGTTCCTCTTTGTCATCCCTTTGAAATAAAAAAAGGAATAATATCCAAATACAGGAGCAAGAAATGTGTGCAAGACTAAATAGCAAAAATATACAAACATACATTACTAGAGACTTGCAGCCTCAGACTTCCTTAGTTATTTTGAATCACCACGTAACCCCCAGATCTCCTTCTGAAGCTTGTTCCAATGTCCTACATTTCTTCCAGGACACCTATAACTATCTGGGGCTATTCTTCAGCTTTGGTTCTTCTTAGAAACTACTTGGACTGTCAACACAAGGCAAACACAAACTAATAATTTACATTCTGTGACATCACAGCAGCTCGAGCAATGACCTCAAGAGGATCATAAATGAGTTACAGACAATGTTTAGGCCAAGAATAATCACTCTTTCATTACCAGGATATCTGAGCCTTTACTTCACAGATGGGTAATGTATGTACCTCCAGATGTTGAAAAGCAACTTCCATCATTCCCTAACACTTGTTTATCTGGCAGTAGGTTTTTTTTTCATGTCAGGGGTGACTTGAGAAACTGCAAGTTGCTTCTGGTGTGAGAGAATTGGCCGTCTGCAAGAATGTTACCCAAGGGACACCAAGATGTTTTGGTGTTTTTACCATCCTTGTGAAAGGCTATTCTCATGTCCCTGTATGGGGAGCCGGAGCTGACAGAGGGAGATCATCCGTGCTCTCCCCGGATTTGAACTTGCGACGTGTCGGTCTTCAGTCCTGCCGGCACCAGGGTTTAACCCACTGCGTCACCGGGAGCTCCTTGGCAATAGGTGTGAGAGTGGTGATCAAGAAACATCTGGAGGACCCTTTCTTCCTATTCATTTTTTGTTTTGATTCTGTAACAATTTGAAGGGTTGGAAGGGTTGGAGGGTTGAAATGAACTCACTGGAATTACCATTGAATCACCTTGGAGGCCCTTTGTGCCCTCTCTCCTACTACAACTCTGGGCAAATGAGAGAGCTGTGAGAAGATGGAACGCTCCTAACTTGTCAAAAAATTAGGCCAAAGAAGGTAAGGAATGCTTCCTTACTATTTAAGTTCGTTTGTGGGCAACAACTTTTCTAGCCTTGTCTTCCCTAACATTCTTCACACTCCTACTTCATCTTATTTCGCCCTCATTTTTATGGAAGGAGTTGGCAAAACACAGATGACATTGCAATAACACACAGCTATTGATAGCTGCAAGGAGTTCCATAAGCATTTCAACAAGGGTTTGCTATTTCAAATGGATAAAGTGATCTCCACGGATGTGAGGGTTAGCATCTACACATGATAGCAGGACTGAGTTCTATTAAAGAAGATCAAGGTTGACATGGTTTGGAAATTGAAGTTGGTCTTCTCTTAAACTGATGTTGACCAGACTACAACCTCCTGGAAGAGTTGGACCTTGGTGTGGGAGAAGCAGTGTTCTTAGGCCATAAACTTGTGAAGCATGGAGCCCTTTGAGTCTGGTTTCTGTGGAAGGAAAGCATCTTAGAAAAGTCCAGTGACATTTAGTCATTGGTGCAACTAGAATGCAGGTCTGGAAGTGGAGAATTGAATGGAAGACCAAATGATGAAGTTCTAACTAGGCCCAAATGAACAAAGCCAACAGAGAACAGAAGCTTGTGGTAAACCGAAGCCTTCTTGAGTCTGGAAGGGACATGAGACAAAGCAAGAAGGTAGAGCTGAAGCTAAGTTTGAAGAACGGAGCAGGAAGGAAGATCTTCTGATGCAATCCAATGCATAACTGCTAAGCAGGAATGAGGCATTCATAAGGAATTTAGACTTTTTAAAGCCTGAAGAGGGTGGAAATAAAAGGTGAAGGAGAACCAGAGCCTACTGGAGCAGTTCAAACCTGGCATAAGGATTGGTGGCAAGCTCTTGAGGAGGCTTTTTACTCAGCTGACCCCTTCTGCCGACGCTTTGAAGGTGGCACAAGATGACGGGGCAGATCAGATGGTAGGCCATGGCCATCCAGCTTGACTTCAATCAAGTGGCTGGCAAGAGCAAACTCCTCATCGTCCAGCATGCCATCACGGTCTACATCACTGAGCTTCCAGATCTTGCCAAGGACTGAGTTGGGCAGTTTGGTGGTGACCATCCAGTTCTTGGCCTTTGTGCCACTCAGCTTACCATCCATGGGTGATAGGTTGTAGAAGATCTCATCGTATTTGGGCTTGTCCTTGGTCACCACCCACTCATCGTCATCCATCCCCTCATAGGCCCCCTCGGTTGCTCCTTCGATGAAGGGACCGTTCCGGGTGCCATCAAAGGCGCCGCCATGCACAATCTGCTCAGGGACTTCTGTCTCCTCCTGGCGCAAAAGAGGCATCAGCTTGGCAATATCTAGAGTCAGGAGCTCATCCAAAGCATCCACCATGCGCGGCTTCAGTCCATGGAATTTGGTGAAGTCATGCACCATCAGCATTTCCTGGGGAAAAAAACAATTATGATGACACAGAAGAATGGCCCTGCCTCCTATCATCAATGTTTCTGCTGGGGCAAATATACAGATTTAATCTTTGTTTTTTCAGATGTTTTCTGCTGCCAGAATCTCATGTGTCCGCGGTGACTGGGAGGACCTTTGCACAACTAAAACTAGTGCACCAGTTACAACCATACCTTGTGCAGTCTCATTTAGCCACGGTGGTCCATGCTTTAGTTACCTCTAGATTGAACTATTGCAACGCACTCTACGTGGGGCTGCCCTTGAAGATGGCCCAGAAATTTCAATTGGTTCAACTCTTAGCAGCCAGATTACCATATATTCCGGCATATAAGACGACTGGGTGTATAAGACGACCCCCAACTTTTCCAGTTAAAATATAGAGTTAAGACGACTCCCATGCATAAGACTACACCTGCGTATAAGACGGCCCCTGACTTTTGAGAAGATTTTCTTGGGTTAAAAAGTAGTCTTATACGCCAGAATATACTGTACTAACTGGAGCGAATTACAGGGAGCAATCTACTCCCCTGTTTAAGGAGCTCCACTGGCTGCCTTTCATTTTCCAGTCCCAATTCAAGGTGCAGGTGATCACCTACAAAGCCCTGAATGGTTTGGGATCTGCCTACCATCACTACCGTATTTCCTTCTATGAACCTACCCGTCCCTTTCAATCTTCCAGGGAGGCCCTCCTCTCACTCTCACCTCAGTCGCAAGCACAGCTTGTGGGGATGAGGGAGAGGGCCTTCTCAGTGGTGGCCTCCCGGCTTTGGAACTCATTACCTGGGGAGATTAGGCAAGCTCCCCCTTGTCAGCTTTTAGGGAAAGCTCGAAAACTGGATGTTCCAACTTGCTTTTGATGAATGAACAACAATCCCCATACCATGTCTGTCCCAGCATATACTCTTGATGCACTTCTCCTTATTCCTAGCGGGTAATTAAGCCCCATAGCTTGTCCCTCCTGTACCTCCCACCAGATAAATTGCTCCATTTTCCTATCCCGCTCTATGCCCCCTGTTTTTATCTGCGCATTTGGCCTAGCCCATCCTGATTTACTCCTTGCCCATAATTGTTTTTTCACTTCATACCTGATGTTATATCCCACTGTGTTAACTCTCCTTTATTGTTTTTATGTTATTGTTTTTATTGTGGTATATTATTTTAATTTAATTTTAATTCCAACTATTATTTTTCTATATGTATTTAATTTATTGTATTCGTCAGGCTTGGCCTCATATTAGCCACCCTGAATCCCTGAGGGGAGAGGGTGGCGGGGTATAAATAAAGTTTAATAATAATAATAATAATAATAATCCCTGATTGTAAGCCACGTGGCAGGTGCTTCTGACAGCTGAAGTCTAAAACTTCTGGAGCCTCATGTTTTAAAATCACTGCATTAAATAAAAGTGAAGTTGTGCCTGGAATCAAGTAAATATTTATTTATTTATATATTTACTGTATTTGTATACCGCCTTTCTCAGCCCCCAGGTGACTCAGGGCGGTTTACAGAGGCAACGATTCGATGCCCAATACACTGTAAAACATTTAAAAGCACAAACACGTAATATAAAACCATAAGAATAGTATTAAAAAATACATCGATTACGTCTCCTAATAAAAACGTTGTCCAATCTTGTCGTCCAGTCGTTCCAATTCCTATGTCATTTACCTTGTATTTTCAAACACTTGTTCAAAAAACCAAGTCTTGACTCTTTTCCAAAATGTTAAGAGGGAGGGGGCCGATCTAGAGGGAGGGGGCCGATCTAGCGTCCCCAGGAAGGGCGTTCCATAGCCGAGGGGCCACCATTGAGAAGGCCCTGTCTCTCGTCTCCACCAAACATGTTTGTGACGCAGGCGGGATCGAGAGTAGGGCCTCCTCGGATGATCTTAAAGTCCTAGCAGGTTCATGAGGGATGATGCGTTCGGACAGGTAAGTTGGGCCAGAACCATTAGTATATAATAAATATTCAGCTCGTCTATCAAGTCACAGTTGATAGCTCTGTTTGCATAGAATTGCAGAGCTGGAAGGGACCACAAGATCCAAACAATCCCAATTCTCTCTCGTGCCAGAATAAACAAAGCTCTCCCCAAGGATGTCCATCAAACTCTGTTGAAGGACCTCCAAAGAAGGAGAGCTCACCACCCCCCGAAGCACTGGATGAATGACCTTTTCAGTCCTTACCTGCATCTTGTTGCAGTCGGGGAAATCACCAGGTGAGATGTGATGCTCAAGTTGGATTTTGGCAAAGATGACGGGCAACTTGTTGATGAGCTGCTTCTTTTTGTTTTCTTTTCCAAAGACGGAGGGCATCTCCCTCTTCAGATGGCTGATGATATGGGCATGGACCTGGAGGTCCAAAAAATAAACAAACAAACAAACAGAAGGAGCACATTAAATGCTGGTGCTCCATCCCCTTACATTAGAAGTGTTTAGAGATGGAGCAAAACCAAAGAGGTTGAACCCCAAATGTTGTTGAAGAATTAGCACTTTTTAACCATTAGTGAAAATGTTGTGATCTCATAGAATGTCCATGGGTTTTTAAAAGTTATTTGGGAAGAGGAAGACGTAGAGAAAAGATAGTGACAAACTGGTAGGTTCTTGCAGAGCATTAGTTGGTGAAGGAAAGCAGAAGGGCAAGAAGAGCGGAAGTGAAGCCTAGCAACCAGAGCACCCAAAAGCTCAAATGCTAACCCAGTGTTTCTCAACCTAGGGGTCGGGACCCCTGGGGGGGGTCACGAGGACGTGTCAGAGGGGTCGCCAAAGACAATTAGAAAACACAGTATTTTCTGTTGGTCATGGGGGTTCCATGTGGGAAGTTTTGCCCAATTCTATCATTAGTGGAGTTCAGAATGCTCTTTGATTATAGGTGAACTATAAATCCCAGCCACTACAACTCCCAAATGTCAAGGTCTGTCTTCCCCAAACCGCACCAGTGTCGACATTTGGGCATATTGAGTATTCATGCCAAGCTTGGTCCAGATGCATCGGCGTTCTCTGGATGTGCGTAAACTACAACTCCAAAACCCAAGGTCAATGTCCACCAAATACTTCTAGTATTTTCTGTTGGTCATGGGAGCTCTGTGTCCTAAGTTTAGTTCAATTCCATCATTGGTGGAGTTAAGAATGCTCTTTGATATTGTAAGTGAACTATAAATCCCAGCAACTACAACTCCCAAATGACAAAATCAATCCTCCCCTCAATCCCACCAGTATTCAGATTTGGACATATTGAGTATTTGTGCCAAATGAATGAAAATACATCCTGCATACCGGATATTTACAAGATGATTCATAACAGGAGCAAAATTATAGTTGTGAAGTAGCAATGAAAATAATGTTATGGTTGGGGATCATCATAACATAAGGAACTGTATTAAGGGGTCACAGCATTAGGAAGGTTGAGAACCACTGTGCTAACCAAAATGAATGAGACAATCCAAAGCTATGGTGACTGAAAAAAGGCTAGTATGTTGCTTGGAAAGGAAATAAATGCAAAAAAAAAAATCAAACCAGAGCTTGAAAAGGTGCAGCCAAAAAAGTTACATTTATAAGCTCAGACTATGCTAGTTTTTTTTTAGTTTTCACAGGAAAGATGTAGAGAACCAAAAAGGACAAGGAAGATGAAGGAGGAATAAGTTTTCAAATCTCACAAGCAGCCCAGTGATGTTTCAGTCTTCCAGTGAAACTGCCTAGGAGGGAAAAAAACTAAAATATTTCTTTTAGTGGTTAGTCAAGATGCGACTAATGAAGCACCAGTATTTTGCAGAAGGTTCTAGCACAGAAACCTGGCTTCCAAGAGGAAAAGCGGCAGCCTCTGCTTCCAGAATGCTACTTCTCCCTCCAAAATCTTAGCCGGATTTATGTCCCAGGGCTTCCTGCACTCAGCGACACTGCCTATTGTCTGGAGAAGCAGAGAGATCTCCACAAAGTCAACCGGGCACAGACAGTACCTCTTGAGGTGACAGCTAAGTGAGTACCATAGGCGCCTGGAGCGTGAGAAAGAGGCTTGAGACCTCAGTAAGACAGGATGCAGCAGGAGACAGGCAGAGGACATATCCATAAAGATCAGAGAAAGATGCCAGGTTGTAAATCTTGCCTGTATCTCTGTTTATGTAGGGGAATGGCTGAGCTGAGTGGGAATGTGGGGCTTTGAATCAAGTCAGAAGTGGGAAACTCAGGCTCTGGGGCTGACACTGATAGTTCACGACACCGTAATGTGGAGGCCCTTTAACTTTCCAATTGGAGCCCCCAATTGCACAGTGGGTTAAACCGCTGTGCTACTGAACTTGCTGATTAAAAGGTCACAGGTTCGAATTCGGGAAGCAGAGTGAGCTCCCAGTATTAACCCCAGCTTCTGCCAACCTAGCAGTTCAAAAACATGCAAATGTGAGCAGATCAATAGGTACTGCTCCGGCGGGAAGGTAACGGCATTCCATGCAGTCATGCTGGCCACATGACCTTGGAGGTGTCTACGGACAACGCTGGCTCTTTGGCTTAGAAATGGAGATGAGCATCAACCCCCAGAGTCGGACACGACTGGACTTAATGTCAGGGGAAAACCTTTACCTTTACCTAATTTTCCAATAGATTGCCACCCATTCTAAAACATTCAGTTGCCCTTCCTTGCAGGTACCCACAGAAAGAGCCAATGGCATAATAACTGTGTCATATAGTTGTTTATAGTTACAATTAAACTTTTTTTGTCCCACCTTTTCAGCTGCTTTTAAGATGCCCCAGTTTCTCTCTCCACCACCCACTCTTTCTTTTTTGTCTTCAGCATACTTTAATGGGTGCAACCTGAGTTCAATGTGAAAAAGTAGGTTGCACTCAAGTCAGCAAAAAGGAAAGGAGAAGAGGCAGAATCTTGCCCATTCCCAGTAGGCTCAGGCAAAAGCGAACCTCTACAGCATCCCCTCACTTGAGAGTCCAGGTAAAAGTAAAGGTTTTCCCTGACATTAAATCTAATCATTTCCAACTCTGAGGGATGGTGCTTATCTCCATTTCTAAGCCCAAGAGCTGGCATTGTCCATAGACACCTCCAAGGTCATGAGGCCAGCATGACTTCACGAAGTGTCGCTACCTTCCTGCAGAAGTGGTACCTCTTGATCTACTCATGTTTGAATGTTTTCAAACTGTTAGGTTGGCAGAAGCTGGGGCTAACAGCAGGAGCTAACCCTGCTACCTGGATTCAAATTGCTGACCTTTCAGTCAGCAAGTTCAGCAGCTCAGCGGTTTAACCTGCTGCCCCTGAGAGTCCAAAATGCCCCCAAAGAATTCTCAGAACTGTGGTCCGAAACTGGGGAGTTGTCGTCTAAAGAGTGACTTTCCATAGCTGTTCTGGATCTTTTTACCAGTTTCCAACCCACAAGGAGACTGTGGTCACAGGATCCTCACTACCCCAATATCTCTCTTCCTTTTGACTCCAGTCATGTTGCCCGTAATGCCAGAGATTATACCACTCTCCTCATGCTCCCCATCCAGGAGTTCCCACCACCTAAAAGACTGGAGGAAATTGCAACTGGAAGGTCTCTCCTAATGCCAATCCACCTTCACAAGTGACAGGAAGAGATAAGCCTGTAGAAGAAACACCTCTGAAACTTCCTGAACTTTTGGGGAACATGTTCCCTTTCTAGGAAACTCATATGAATCACGTAAACAATAGTTTCTGTTCACAAAGGAGAGTCTGGTGAAGGAGCCAGGAGAAGGGATAATCTCTCCTTTCCTGTTTGAACAGAGTGGCTCAGCATTCTGCATGCGGTGATGTTTTCCAAAGGAAACTCCGCGTTACAGCTTTCTGCCCTCCTGGCTCAGTCTATGTACTGGGGTCCTAGACGGCTGCCCTCAAGTCTTGCCATAATGAGGTTACTATAAGGCACCTTCGTGAGACACACGTCCACGAAGAATAGGGCCGCATGTTGCACTGCCGCACATTGGAATTGGATCGAAGCCATGGCAGAAGTTAGCAAAGGACCGCAAAACGGCTCTTGGATGGGAATGAAAAGATGGCATGCCTTCCAATTTGGCAGGGACATGCCCGATTAATTCTCAATTGACCCATTTTTTTCCCAATTGCCTTCAATATTTCCAAGTTTCTCTCTCTTCGGTCTACTTTTTTCCCTTTGTCCTCAGTTTACTTCAGATGCTGCAACTGTGTTCAAAGTGCAGAAGTAGTTTGCGTATAATTCGCTCAGCTCGAGGGAGAAGTGAGATGGGGGGACATTCCTGGCAGATTCAGGCAAATGAAAACATTTATTTTATTTTATTTTCCATCATTTTTATCCTGCCTTTCTCAACTCCCGGGGGGAGGGGGGGACAGGACTCAGGGCGGCTTACACCGGCAACAATTCAATGCCACAAGATAATACAAATATAAACAAAATAACAACAGTTTAAAACAATGAATAGAACATTAAGTTAAAATACATTAAAACACGTTAAAACATAATCATCAATCCATATAGTCAATTCCAATTCCTATCCAATTCCTCATCTAAACTGCTGTTAGGCTTTTTAATTATCTTCAATAAACAGATTGCATTTCTACTCAACTGTGTGGTGTTTAAAGTCAGAGGGCTTTTCCTGGTCTGGAGTGCAACAGAATGATTCATTCCATCAGGAGTTGGGAAGGTGCTCTACCTCACTGGAAAGGCTTAATGAGAAAACCAGAGCCAAACACATGGGGGGAGGCAGGGGTACAGGGACGTAGGAAGGGGGTGGCCAAGCTGATTGTACCCTCCAGCACAATGCACTGACTTCCTCTATGGGGACGTAGCCATTGTTTTAGTTGGAGAGTGGGTGGGTTGAAGTCCCTTTCCTACTGCTAAGGAGAACAGGAAAAGCAACCGTTTACAAAATGGACATTGAAAGAAACAGCAATGGAGAAAAGGTAGCGGTCCATGAGGTGGAGATGGTAGAACTGCTCCATCAAAGAAGTGGTCCTCTATCTGGTCCAATTACTTGAGACATTAAGACAGACTAGTACCTCTATATGTAGAATGGACTATAATTCCCATCCCCAGCCAGTTTTTTTTTCATGTCAGGAACAACTTAAGAAACTGCAAGTTGCTTCTGGTGAGAGAATTGGCCGTCTGCAAGGATGTTGCCCAGGAGACGCCCGGATGTTTTGATGTTTTACCATCCTTCTGGGAGCCTTCTCTCACGTTGCCGTATGGGAAGCTGGAGCTGACATAGGGAGCTCATCCATGCTCCCCCCGAATTCAAACCTCCAACTTGTTGGTCTTCAATCCTGCCAGTACAAGTGTTTATCCCATTATGCCACCAAGGGCTACGACTGGGTGATAATGGGTGACGGTTCTGGCCCAGCTTACCTGTCCGAATGTATCTCTCCCTATGAACCATCTAGGTCTCTAAGATCGTCTGGGGAGGCCCTGCTCTCGGTCCCGCCTCCTTCACAGATGCGACTGGCAGAAACAAGAGACAGAGCCTTCTCAACAGTGGCTCCTCGGCTATGGAACGCCCTCCCTAGGGATATCAGATCAGCCCCTTCCCTCCTAACATTTCGAAAAGAGTTAAAACCTGGCTCTTTGTGCAAGCGTTCGCAGATGCAGTGTAACAAGCTAACTTGGATCCACGGAATGATTGGACGATGCGACTGGGAAATTATTTTAGTAATGAGACACTGAGTTTTATTGTTTTTTATTGCTGTTATTGTTTTTATATGTTTTTTTTTGTCATGTCAGGACTGACTCCTGGTGTGAGATATGGTTTATACTATGTGTTAATGTTTTAACTATATTTTATGTTGTTGGGGGCATTGAATTATGCCGATTGTAAACCGCCTTGAGTCGCCTTCGGGCTGAGAAAGGCAGTATATAAATATGGTAAATAAATAAATAAATATTGTCGTTAAAAACACCCAGAGTCAAAGCAATTTAAGTAAAACGAGGACAAAGAGAAAAAGTGGAAGGGAGATAAATCAGGATATAAAGGAAACTGAAAATGTGGGACTACAGTTGGACCTCCACATCTGGAAATTCAATTTTGCAGATTTGATTATTCAAAGATGTCTAGATATCCCTAGATCCTCTAGTGTGACTCTATGGTTAACTTCTGCCAGAAGTTGACCATAGTCAACTAGTACCCCGGTACTCACCCGGACCAGACGGGCTCTCTTGACCAAATCGTTAAGCTTCCTCAGGGCAGAATTCCGGGGCAGGTTCTGGATGTCCGTGAACAAGTCCTGCTCCTCGAGCTCAAAGAGCCGTCGGTTGTCAGAGATCATGAGTGGCTCCGACCAGAAGGACCCGATGTAGACACGCAGCACCTCGGGCGTGTTGAACACTTTGCCCAGCGACCACATAAGGGCGCCGTAGACCCGCATCAGCTGCTGCGTCTCCACCATGTCGGCCTTGTTCAGGACCACCCGGATCTTGTCCTCGTTGCCCTTGAGGGCCCGGATGGCCTCTGAGAACTCGTCTGAGATCTCCAGCTTATGGGCATCGAAGAGGAGGATGATGAGATCCACACGCTCAGCAAACCACTGCAGCACTGCTGGGAAGTCATAGCCTGCAAAGGAAAGCACCGCGGAACAAGGGGTTAATCTGCACATACTTTTGAAGGCCCAACAAAGTGCTTTTCTATTACTCTTATAAAAACATCAGTTGCAACAAATAATGTTTTCTGCTTCCTTGGAGACTAGGACGCAGAACAATGGCTTCAAACTGCAAGAGAGGAGATTCCATCTGAACATGAGGAAGAACTTCCTGACTGTGAGAGCCGTTCAGCAGTGGAACTCTCTGCCCCGGAGTGTGGTGGAGGCTCCCTCTTTGGAAGCGTTTAAACAGAGGCTGGATGGCCATCTGTCAGGGGTGCTTTGAATACAATATTCCTGCTTCTTGGCAGGAAGTTGGACTGGATGGCCCATGAGGTCTCTTCCAACTCTTTGATTCTATGATTCTATATGTCAATATTGTCAGTGTATGTAATATGTAATCTTCCAACTGTCCTGATTTGGAAGAGAAAGTTCCAATTAATCCTCTGCCATACCACATTTCAATTGATTTTGAAATGTCCCGGTTTCTCTCTCCTTCTCCCACTTTCCCCTTTTCTCCTCAGATTACTTCCGTTGCTTCAAAATATGATCAAACTGTAAGACTCTGAAGCAAGAGAAGAGCAGATTGACATCGGCTCAGATAACTTGTCTCTTCTTCCTCATTAACAACTTTAGCCATCTTCACCAGTTTCTTGCTTAACTATCCATATCCTGGTTTATTTATTCTTTATTTATTTACTGTATACCGCCTTTCTCACCCCTTGGGGCGACTCATACTACATACTAATGGCAAAAATTTAATGCCAACATACAGTAAAACAAAGAAATCATAATAACTAATTACTACATGTAAATATGACTTAAAATGATTACTACCATTAAACATAAGACATAAACAAACTTTAAACATTCAGACAAAGCGTTAAAATTATCCTAGTATACCGTATATACTCAAAGCGTTAAAATAATCCCAGTATAGGTAAAGGTAAAGGTTGTCCCCTGACATTAAGTCCAGTCATGTCTGACTCTGGGGTGTGGTGCTCATCTCCATTTCTAAGCCGAAGAGCCAGCGTTGTCCGTAGACATCTCCAAGGTCATGTGGCCGGCATGACTGCATGGAGCGCCGTTACCTTCCCGCCGGAGCGGTACCTATTGATCTACTCACATTTGCATGTTTTCGAACTGCTAGGTTGGCAGAAGCTAGGGCTGACAGCGGAAGCTCAGGCCGCTCCCCGGAATCGAACCTGCGACCTTTCGATCAACAAGCTCAGCAGCTCAGTGCTTTAACCCACTGCGCCACCGGCTCCAATAGACTATTATTACCGTATATACTCAAGTATAAGCTGACCCGAATATAAGCCGAGGCACCTAATTTTACCACAAAAACTGGGAAAATGTATTGACTCGAGTATAAGCCAAAGGTGGGAAATGCAGCCGCTACTGGTAAATTTCAAAATAAAAATAGATCCCTGCTCCCTCCTCCCTATGACTCCCCCTCACATATTTATACATGGCTATCATGTCTACTCTCAGCCTTCTCTTCTTCAGGCTAAACATGCCCAACTCTTTAAGCCACTCCTCATAGGGCTTGTTCTCCAGACCCTTGATCATTTTAGTTGCCCTCCTCTGGACACATTCCAGCTTGTCAATATCTCTCTTGAATTGTGGTGCCCAGAATTGGACACAATATTCCAGGTGTGGTCTAACCAAGGCAGAATAGAGGGGGAGCATGACTTCCCTGAATCTAGACACTATAAGTTTCCCCTTGCCCTGGACTAATCATTCCCGAAGCTTGAAAGCATGACTGGTTTGGGCAACAGCTGCTACAGTCGCTGAGCTTCTGACATCTGAAGTCCAAGAAGAGACCCAATGTTTGCAAGCGACTTGTGTTCTGTTTTTGTTTTTGCCTGCCCTGGGGCAAACTGGGATCATAGAATGGTTCCTTTGTCTGACCTTCCCTATCTCTATCTTGTGACACCAATCCAGCCTTGAGTAGTCCAGATTCTTCCGCAAAAGCAAAGCGTGCGCCACCATTGAGACCTCTGGCAACCTCTTTTTCCCCTGCGTGAGCCAAGGAGGCCCCATGGTTCACCGAGATAAGAGCTGCCCGGCCAGTTCCCTTGCTTCTTTTATTTAGATCTCACATCTTGTATTATTTTTCTTTAGTCTGACAGAACAATGAGGCCCTGTTGCTCAGACTTTCCTATGGAACGACTCGGTTTCCTTTTTTGGTGCTGTGGAACAGGCCCTTGTGAACCTCAGCTGCCAAGAGGCAGCAAAAAGGAGCGGCTGGGCGGATGGCTCGGGTCCAACAGCCAAGAGAGCGAGGAAACTTGTTTAGTTTTGATGAGGGTTGGGAAGGGAGAGGAGAGGGCTGAAGGGAACCCAAAGCAAGAGGAAAAAACTGCTTTCCTTGCTCAGGGAAAAAGCATGTAGGTTGGTGGGAGTGAGGAACCACAAGGAAACGTTCCCCCTAGGACAGTGTTTCTCAACCTGGGGGTCGGGACCCCTGTGGGGGTCGCAGGGGGTGTCAGAGGGGTCGCCAAAGACCATCAGAAAACATAGTATTTTCTGTTGGTCATGGGGGTTCTGTGTGGAAAGTTTGGTCCAATTCTATCGTTGGTGGGGTTCAGAATGCTATTTGATTGTTTGTGAACTATAAATCCCAACAACTACAACTCCCAAATGGCAAGGTCTATTTTCCCAAACTCCACCAGTGTTCACATTTGGACATATTGAGTATTTGTGCCAAGTTTGGTCCAGATCCGTCATTGTTTGAGTCCACAGTGCTCTCTGGATGTAGGTAAACTACAACTCCAAAACTCAAGGTCAATGCCCACCAAACCTTCCAGTATTTTCTGTTGATCATGGGAGTTCTATGTGCCAAGTTTGGTTCAATTCCATCGTTGGTGGAGTTCAGAATGCTCTTTGATTGTAGCTTAACTATAAATCCCAGCAACTACAACTCCCAAATGACAAAATCAATCCCATCCAACTCCAACCAGTATTCAAATTTGGGTATATTGGGTATTTGTGCTAAATTTGGTCCAGTGTATGAAAATATATCCTGCATGTCAGATATTTACATTACGATTCATATCAGTAGTAAATTACAGTTATGAAGTAGCAACAAAAATAATTTTATGGCTGGAGGGTCACCACAACATAAGAAACTTTATTAAGGGATCAAGGCATTAGGAAGGTTGAGAAACACTGCCCTAGGACATACTTTCTTCCTTCTCCTTCTAATGGTGGCTAGTCTCTTCAGTGTCTCTGTGGCTATAAATCTGATCCATACTCTAGTCCAAATTTAAAAGGAGTGATCCAACCTGCTGAACTGGTTACCGTTGAGTGTGGACTACAAAGAGTAATGGATTCACATATCCACTAACACAGTGTTTCTCAACCTTTCTAATGCTGTGACCCTTTAATACAGTTCCTCATGTTGTGGTGACCCCCCCCCCCCAACCATAAAGTTATTTTTATTGCTGCTTCATAACTGTCATTTTGCTCCTGTTAAGAAGCATCATGTAAATATCTGATATGCAGGATGTATTTTCATTCACTGGACCAAATTTGGCACAAATACCCAATACGTCCAAATTTGAATACTGATGGGATTGGTTGTGAATGATTTTGTCATTTGGGAGTTGTAGTTGCTGGGATTTATAGTTAACCTACAATCAAAGAGCATTCTGAACTCCACCAATTATAGAATTGGGCCAAACTTGGCACACAGAACACCCATGACCAACAGAAAATACTGGAAGGGTTTGGTGAGCATTGACTTTTGGAGTTTTGGAGTTGTAGTTCACCTAAATCCAGAGAGTACTGTGGACTCAAACAATGATGGATCTGGACCAAACTTGGCACAAATACTCAATATGTCCAAATGTGAACACTGGTGGTGTTTAGGGAAACTAGACCTTGACATTTGGGAGTTGTAGTTGCTGGGATTTATAGTTCAACTACAGGGTGAGGCAGCATAGCTTCCTTTTTTTCAAAACGTAATCAAACCCATTGTATGAATCAGAATTTTTTCAATATAATGTAGGCGCATCCCTAAAGTTTTGTTTTATGTAGTTTTGAAGATCAAATTAGGTAGGTGACGTCCCCCATTCTCCATTCTCCATACACTGAGTAAACCGATTTCTGACGTTTGTCATGACTCTTGCCAGCATAGCAGGCGTTATGTTGGCAATTTCTTCCTGGATGTTGGTCTTCAAATCTGGTAGGGTCCTTGGACAGTTCATATAAACACCGGATTTCAAAAAACCCCAGAGAAAAAAATCACAAGAAGCCAAATCTGGAGAGCTGGCCGGCCACTCCAAATCCGCTCAAAAAGTAGACCTCAATGGCAAAAGCACGCTCCTCACTGTTCCAACGCATGATGGCGACTGAACTGTGTCAGGACAAAACTTTATACTCCCGCCTCTTGAACGACCGCTAGCGCTCTGCTATGTATTCAACCAACTGAATGGTGCGCATTTTTAAAAAGGAAGTTATGCTGCCTCACCCTGTACAATCACAGAGCTTTCTGAACCCCACCAAGGACAGAATGGGGTCAAACTTTCCACACAGAACATCCATGCCTTGAAAAGACTTGCTGGGGTGAGCCTCCCTCCAGCCTCACACGCTCTCCCTTGCCTGTACATGCGTAGCACGCTGCCATGCGCTGGGCACACCTGCTCTCCCCTCTCCCACTTGGAGTCTAGAAACAGCTCTTCTCTTGGCTGAGAGGCTGGTCAATCGAAGTGAAGGAGTGGTTTTGGTGGGAGGATTCTCTTCCAAAAAGGAAGAGAACATCAGGGAGAGAGATCTTCAGCCTTCTCTGCCAAAGGGGTTCCTAAAACCACCAGAAATGTATGTTTTCTGGTGATCTTCGGCAATCCCTCTGAAACCCCCTCATGACACCCCCCCAGGTGTCCTAACCCCCAGGTTGAGAAATGCTGCCCTAGATCCAAGGACAGGCTAATTTTTATTTGTTGTGTCAGGGCAACCAGTCAATTGTATT